ACTGTAGTCATTAGGTAATATTTCCTACTAAAAATATAATTAGGAGCTATGGTATAAAAATATAATCAGGAGGTAGGTGGTAGTAAAAGATTTGCCTGGCATGCACAAGGTTTAGCCCCCAGCAGTGTAAAATAAACAAATCAGAATTTTACTTCAGAGTAGGCATAGTGGTGTACAACTGTAATCTGAACATTCTGGGAAGCAGAGGCAGAAGAATAAAGTTTGAGCCCAGATTAGGATCTTAGTAAGACCCTGTCTCAAAATAAAAATATAAAACGAGGCTGTAGTTGTAACTCAATGGAAAGCCCCATGCTTGTGAGAGAATAACTGAGTTTGAGGCCAGGCTGCCTTACAAAGGAAGTTCAGCACCAGCCTGTACTGCCTAGTGAGAACCTGAATCCTAAAAACAAAATGTATCAGTTTTGCCTTTTTTTATAAGTTGCTGAGAAAAGTATACTCTCGATTTTACTGTTTTTAATGCTATTTGGGTTTCTTGTTTGTATTTTAATGTGCCTGAATCTCACTGTCTCCAATTTTGACATGTTTTTCTGTGGGAAAAAAAAAAAAAAACTTCAACAAAATACATTCACCCAGTCATTCATATCAAAGTGTGGATGGGTTTTCTGAACTTTTTCGGGAGACAATGAAATCCATCACCTTGTGTCTTGATTTTCTCAGGTGTTACAGTTGAAAGCTTTCCATGCTCTCCTATTTACAAGGATGTTAAAAACTGTATCTTGAACTTGAATCTGCAAGAGGGTGTAACATCTTTTACTAGAAGTGTTCAGCCACCACTCCCCCCCCCATTTGTACAGAATTTAGGAAACAGAAAGGAGACTAAATTAAATAGAGCCTTTTCTAGACCTAAAAGAAAACAGCACATTTGACTTTTCAGCTTTCAACTGATTACTGTTGTCACAGTTTCAATTTTCAATTCAACCTTTTTTGTCATTGATATTTATAAAAACTTGACTTTAAAATGTGTATTAATCATATTACATGATGGCTTTTCAATGTGTTTCACATCATCAAAAAGACAAACTAAGTCTGAAGCTCCTCTCAGATACTTTTAAGCTATAACCCCAAGGAAATGCTTAAGTTTGCAAAGATTTCATTTACACCATTAAAAAGTACAGGCCCTCAAATCAAAGAGAAAAAGTCTCAATTCTAGGCTTTCCCACTTCCCTCAGATTCTCCAAGGATCATTCCTTGCTTAGTCCTCAGGGATGATAATAGAACCTATTTCAAGTGATGGTTACATAAAAGAGCATTGCATAAAGTCCTTAACCCAGTATCTAGCATAAATTCTTCATAAGTATTAGCTATTATTGTTTTCATATGATTTATAATGACTTCACCAAAACTTTAAATTTGTGGTACTCTTGTCAGTTAATGACATCATGCCTGACTCACTTCCTAACATAACTAAAAAATAGATTTCAACATTATATAATAGTTCAGTCTTAGCTCATGAACTTGAACTGCCATTCTTGAGACAATAATGAGGAATACCTAACCCAGTATTAAAACATATATTCTGTTCACTGCCAAGTTTTTAATATTTCAGCAATAAATACTGTAAGTCTTTGGTAGAGCCGCAAAGGATTATATACTACAAGTTGACAACTTTGTGTTTGAAGTATTCAAGCAGAGAAATTTGCTCTGATTTCTAGAAAAGGTCATCCTTAAAAATCACTTGTCAACTTGAGACAAAAATCATATGACAGAAAATCACTGAATATATACCATAAGCAGAATTCTATAGAAATCTGGTAGGTGATGACTGCCTCCAGGTGGCTAATGATGTATTGGCTAACCTTTTATCACTGGAACAAAGTACTTGGCAATCACAGTTTATTTGGCTTACGATTGCAGAGGGTTCACCCATGGTCAGCTGGCTTCAGAGCAAAAATGTTATTGCAGAAGAGCATGGTAGAGCAAGCACCTCACTTCATGGCTGCCAAGAGACAGCATGGGAACTGAACTAGTGTGAAGGAGGAGACACTGAACCAGTTGAAGAACTTACTGGAAGCTACTCCAGCAGACAAAGGGAAGAGACAGTCCAGGAAAACACACAGGGACTCAGAATGCTATGAGAACTGGAGCAGGGTAGGAAAAGTATGAAGTGGAGGCACAGAGACCAGATCACCAGAGGCCTCGCAAGGCCAGGAAGAGGAGCTTCCGGCACAGCCCAGTGACTCTGCTCAATGAATCTCACCTCCTGAGAGCACACTGGGCTATGAATATGAGGAAATTGACTAATGAATATAGCACCCCCACAGTCCATCCAGCTCTTTAAAAGTCTTTTAATCCAGTCTTGTGGATGATTAAGAGAACTGGCACCAATGGTTAAGGGAATAGGTTTTAAATTTTGAGTTGAATGAAGCTGGCCCAGTCTAGGATTTGCTGTTTATTTGCCATGTCACCTCACGTTTGTTTGGTTGGCTTTTCTGAACCCCAATTTCTGGTCTATTAAGTGGGGCTAATTCCCTCAATAGAAAAGGGTCAAATCTTAAAGTATATGTGAAAGTACAAGGTACCATTAATAGAACTGTTTTAATTACTGTTAGTATTACTATTCTATTATTATCAGGAAATGTGAAGTGGAAAGAACACGAGTCCCAGGCACCATCATTTCCTCTAGTACAAAACATAGGTCCCCAGGATGGTAACAGTAGTCAGCCTTGTTCCTGGGTGAAGAATGTTATTCTAGGACAGATACCATGCCTATTTTAAGCATGTTATTATTGTTAGTGATACTCCATAAATAACAGTGATATCTGAATCTAGGTGAACTGATAAATGTAAAAGCTGGTAAAGTTATAAGCCAAGTTAAATCCATTTCCTACATATTATTTTCCAGTTCATTCTGTCCTTATTTAAGTGCTTCAGTAGTTTGCTATTGTTGCTAACATCAAGCCCAGCTGCCTCTTCCTGGCCCTGAGAGGCCTTTGGTGATCTGGTCTCTGGTCTCTGGTCTCATGCCTCCACTTCATACTTTTTCTTGCCCTCTTTCACTTCTTACAGTTTTCTGAGTATCCTTCTTTTCCTGAAATGTCCCTTCACTCTGCTGGAGTAGTTTCCAGTAAAATTCAACCCATTCAGTGTCTTCTCCTTCTTGTAATCTCCCAAGGTGAAATAATCACCTCCTTTTACATGCTCTTTTCCCTCTCTCACTAGTGGATTTAATGCCATCTATCACCACATATTGAAATTTGTTCAAATGCTTCGATGCTTATAGCGTCCCCTGTTAGGCTATAAGCTAACAAGCACAATGCTGGATTCACCCTTTATTGTCCAGGGAGAAACACACAGTGTTGCATGTAAGTGGATGTTCAATAAATGTTTAAACAAATTGTCTTGACATTGGATGGCTGCTACATACATTGAAACAGCTAGATATATTCAGTTTCACATTACCTTGTAAAGTTGGATTTCCTCCTAAAGTCTGAACATAGTCCAAGTCATTAAAAGACAGTTGGCTTTCTAAGTTAAAAATTATTTAGCATTTGGTACCTAGCTTTTGTTTTGTTTTGTTTTGTTTTGTTTTGTTTTGTTTTGTTTTGTTTTGTTTTGTTTTGTTTTGTTTGATACCGGCGATTGAGCTCAGGACCTTGTACTTTCCGGGCAAGTGCTTAAGCCACTGAGATATCTCCACAGACTCCGGGCACCTAGCTTTCTGAAATGTGATAATGAGACCTATTTCATGTAAACAGTGGAGCTGATAATCTGAATATGTACTTTAACAAATGGATTGAAAAGTAGGGCCCTTACATTAAAAGGTAGTAAAGTTTCCTTGATGAAGAAATGTTCATTCTAATAAAACAAGCCTGTATGCCAATTGTCATAATATATATATATATATATATTCTCCAAAATGTCAGTTTCAGTGTTCAAGTCAGATTGCTTCTTATACTACATCCAGAACAATTTAATTACTGTAATAACAGCTGAACTTTCATATAACTATCAAAAGGACAGGTTTTCTGAAGGTAAGTGATCCCAAACCTGCAAACTGGGCATGGTTTAGTCTATCTCTTTCTCTCTTCCTCCAGTCCTGCCTCCTCCCCGCTCTCATAGATGCATACACACACACACACACACACACACACACACACAGCCTCAGACTCTGAAATTTTAAAGTTCCATGTATAATGCACTAATAAAAATATGAAATGCTTTTTATGTAAATCATAGGAAAGTGTTGGTACGTAACGGAAAAACTAAGACAGGCAAATAATCATCTGCTGTTCTAAAACCATAACCTGTCATGTTAACTCCCAACTCAAACACTTAGTTTTAAAGATTTACCTTCAAGAAACCTAAAAGCTTGTATTCTGCCTCATTGGCAACAGCCTCAAACTGTTCCCTGTCATCGAAGAAAACAAATCTTTTGCTCATTTCTGCCTGGGGGAGACAGAGGGACTGAGGTGGTCCTGTGTGGCTGAATTAGATGAAAGACTTGCCTTCTACCATGGAGACATGGAGTCTAATCAAGTGAAATGAGTTTTGAGATCCTGGCTCATTTCCTAGGGGAGATCAGTTCACATTACAAAATCATGACATCTCATTCATCACAACTGACGTGGTCTTTGCTCAGGAGAGGACCCCAACTGGGACTAAACCACCTGTCTTCTCTCAAAAAGGGGCACTTTATCCAAGTTACAAGTTGAAAGCCATGGAGTGAGAAAGCTTGCCAGCCACCAGCTTCCATGTGTGTGACATGTGCAGTGTGAAAGGGAACTTAGGTTTAAGAGAGGAAAGATGAGTCTAAGAAAGATTGGTGACTATTTGCAGTGACACTGAACACAAATAGTGGAAACTGAGCTGCTAACTCATGAGGGGAGGAGGCAAGACTGGGGCTCCACCTTCCTTATCGCCTAGATTTTATTAAACAGCCTTGAGAAGGAGGACATTTCCAACTATCAGAGTTTAAAATGGCAAAGAAAATATTACTTTCCAGGCTGATAAATGATCATTATCTCTTTTATTTTTTTCAGGGCATCATTATAACACCCCTTCTATTGCTGCTTTTTGTAAGTATTTTGATGTTGTCTTTAATATCTTATTAAAAATTACCTACAACCTTCAAAGAAGATCATTAGAATAAATCTGAAACTTGAATTCTTTTTTTTAAATTTTATTTAATTGAGAAACAAATACCAATGAGATAGTTTCAAAACTGATTAATAGGACAGTTTCAATAATTAATACATTGTACATTATAATCTTCTTAGTGGTTATCCATAGTACAAGATGCAGACAGAATATCCTGTCCAAACACTATTAGTACAAATCTTTCTTCTCATTGAATTAAGCGAAAGTAGCTATATATCTATCCTAACTATTCTGCATATACACACATAAAATGGTCCTTCCTTTGTATCCCCTTTTTTTGTTTAGTCCTGTCAGAAATGGGTATTCTATTGGCATCTAAATACTATAGGTTCATGAATTCAGCAAAACAATCCCACACAGTCCAACAGTCCACAATAGTAGTGGATTATCCACAGAAGTTGTTGACTTAAGCCTTTGAAACTTGAATTCTATAGCCCCACTTTTGAACTATTATTCTGGTGGGAAGTGCCTGCAAGTAACACAACCAGAAGAAAGCCCTGCTATATTGGAATCCCAGGATAGCATCGGGTTCTGGCTGTTCAGCCTCTAACTCCTGACTAAATCATTAATGGCTGTGACATGGCTCACAAGTGTGCTCTTTATTTTCTTATTAGTAAAAACTAGTGTGATCAATAGAGACCCAGTGTTTGACAGGAAGAACTTGGACCGGGGATCAGAGCAAGCTTGGGTTCTGAGACTGGTACTGATAGGAAGTAGCCTCCTCACCATGAGGACCGCTGCCTCAACTCTGTCATATGTAGAAAGGGCAATTCCAATACCTACCCCAGTCTGACTCCCAAGGATGATGAAACATGCTTTAGGAAAAAAAAAACTCTAAATAGATTCAAGCCACTGATCCACCTCTACAAAAACTGTTCGGAAAACAAGAAATGCTAATTAACTGTCTTATTTCCTTTTGGCACTAAGCATATGAGAAATTAGATGGAAGATTATAATAGAAATTAATGTTATCTCATGCTGAGCAAAGCATATGTAATCATGAATGATACCTAAAATATTTTATGAACTGTGTGTTTTTTCATGCACCTTCCAAATATAAATCACTCCCCTTATCACTGAAATATAGTGGGGATGCATTTCTGGGAGTGAAATGGCGCTGTTTGACTAGCACTATTTGTCAATGAATTAAAACTATGGGGAAAATTTATTTAATTATAGTGTAATTACCCAAGTTGGAATTCAATTAGAGTAACAGAGTGAGGGCCTTCATTTCTTACCAGCTGTGTAGGAAATAGAGAGGGATAGATATCCTACTAAACAGTTGGGTTCTGCATCTTTCATGAAAGACATTACCTTCAAGTAATAAGCCTCACCCCCTCTCCTAAACTGTTGGCTGCATTCTGACAAGGTAAGAAGAGTCAAATATCCTATCAATCCCAGTAGCAGAATTATCCATTAGTGGTTGCTTTATTTTGTTTCACCAAGGCTTGGGATCTCAAGGGTACAGGCACAGACCTCAGTGGACACAGGGTGCAGGCCTATGCCAGCATCCTGGGCTGCCAGAGAGCTCAGCATCCAGGCAGTAAACAACTGCCTTGCCAAGGTTTTGTTCATTGCAGAATACCTTATTCTTGTGACTCACTTAAGAGAGCGGGGCAAAAGTGAAAGCCTATAGTTAGCCAAAACCTGGGGGGTGTTGCTTTTGAATATCTCAGCCACTGCATCTCTGGCACCCCATTTTAGCTGATGAGTAGACTTCTCCCTCTCCTTCCTGTCTCCATCTCTTCTCAGCTGAGTATGACAGCATCACATTAATGCAAGCTGTTCTCTACTCAGGGGCCCCTGAGTGTGTGAGCTTTAGTTAGTTCAACTTTTAAAATAATAGAGCTTTAAGAATAGTGAAAGAGACTGCAAGACCCTCAACTTGGAGTTGGATGCTTTCTTTTCAAGCCAGCTGGGGTGCCTATTAAGCTAAGTGGTATCAGTATACTTCAGGGCATACATCCATGCTATACAACTTTAGACACATGCAGTGCATGCTTTTTTTGTTTGTTTAGGTTATCATGCATTTTATACACATTAACACACACACACACACACACACACACACACACACACAGGAGCATGAACCCAAGGCCTCATACATATTGGGTAGACTCTACCACTAAGCTACACCAAGCCCCTTTTAAAAGGTTTATTTTTGAAACAGCGTCTCACTAAATTACTCAGGCTGGCCTCTTATTCATGGTTTTCCGGTTCAGCCTCCCAAGTGCTAGATTCAATAAGAACTTAAAGCTGTGGGTTACCAGGCCTTATCAACTGAGTAAGACAAGAACCTGAGTGACTTCAAATATGAACACATTCCATAAAAGCAGTGCTGTTTTGTTTTGTTTCTCAACAGCCTTGTTATGGGTCAGGTTGTTGCCTCTCTCATGTTCCAAATTCCAGGACATCAGAAGGGAGCCTTATTTGGACATTTGGCCATTGTAAATATAATTACGTAGGGCAAGGTCATGCTGGAGTAGGCTGGGCCCTTAAGTTGCTATGATTAGTGACCTTGTAGGATAAGGAAGCAGGGATTAGAGTACCACATCTATAAGGCCAGAAATACCAAGGACTGCTGGCAAACCCTGGAGCCTAGAAGAGATGAGGAGCAAAAGAGTTATAACACCTGATGATTTCAGAGGGAGAACTGTTGTACTTGATTTAAGACATTCAGCATCCAGAGCTGTAAGACAGCACTCCTCTGTTGTTCTGAACTGCCTCATCTGTGGGCTTTGTTCCAGAAGCCCAAGAAACTGGATGCAACCCCTGAGCATTCTGTTGTCTTATTTTATCATAGTTTAAAATGGAAATTTCTCAGTATTTAAGCACAGTTGCCCATAAAGACAGGTCTTCTTGATGAAGTCACAATTCCCTGTGTTATTAACTTCTCAATGTATTTCCTTCACATTTTTGTTACAGTTGAAACCTGTCTTCTAACCTGTTTCTGTGTGAGCGCTGTCTCAGTTACTCTTCTCTCATTGCTGAGATAAATACCAGACACTCAAGGTGAAGGAAAGAAAGGTTTGTTTAGCTCACAGTTACTGGAGGTTTCAGTCCGTACTCAGCTGGTTCCAAGGCAGAGTGGCACCTGGCAGAGGGCAGCAGTTCATGGCAGTGGAAGACAGCAAAACAGTAAGAGGAAAAGGGAGGAGGAACAGCAACATTGGCAACAGAGAGCAAGTCTGTCTCTCTGTCCCTCTTATGTTACATCCAGGCTATCTACCCCAGGCTGGGTATAACACACCCATCATCTCAGCAGTAATCAGGCCCATAATCCTAGCAGTACTCAGACTCATAGTCCCAGCCTTGGATTATGAATTAATCACAAACTGTAGAACTGCACCTCAATGACTGCATGAGGCTTTGGGGGGACAAATACACACAAACCATAACAAGCATCTTTCCTGTCACTGAACCCTGAGGTGGGATGAGGTACCTTCCTTACACCTCATTACAATTCCAGATCGTTCCATGTCTTCCTCATAAAATCCTCTGCTTCCTTTGAAGGTTATGCTCATACATCTATGGCATCTGCTCTCTTTCTCCTGGTATAATTGTCAATAAAACTGCAAAGTCATTATCTGGCCATAAAAAGCCTTAGCATCTTGTCATTGTTTTCTTCTTAACTGTAGTTGGTTTAATGGTCAGTGTTTTCATTATGTATATAATTGATCCTTCCAATACCCCAGCCTCTAATTTCTTCACCTTCTCTCCATCAAGGTTAACTTCCACTTAATTTCTTCCAACTATCCCAAAAGCCAGGCACTTGCCTTTGTAACTGCTAATAGTTTCTTCCTTCATAGTCCCATTTTCCAAGGTCCTCTAACCAATGGCACCTACATTTATGGCTTATTTCCCAAGTTAAAATTCTTTAAACTCACTAGAAGAGCCACTTTATTTATCATTCACTTTTACAGTACCCTAGACTATCTCTACCTCATTCTCACCCCGCTATTCTCACACCCTAACTTACCCAGCCCCGATCCCATGATCCCTATTGCAATTTTTTACATAAACTGGTAACAGTTTTACTCATCTTTTACTGCTTCATATTTGCCTGGCAATGCACCAAGACTACCAAAATCTAACTTGGTTACACCTTCCTACATATGTATCTGAACACACTGGCAAACACATTACCAGGACAATTGGTCCCACATGAAATTCATGACAACTGACTGTGAATGAGGTCTGGCCCTACTACTGTCTTCCCCTAATTGGTTAATCTCCTACTCTAGAAAATAATTTCCATCTTTGTCCTTGTCTATGAAATCTCTAATGTTTCTGTTTATATCAACTAATACAGAAAGAAAATAAAATGAGTCAGAAATAAAAAGCAATCAGGGAACTTATGTAAGATCACACCTATTTACATCTATATTCATCTTTGCCGTATCACCTGTTTTCTTAGATAAACTACCTTTTCTCTTGAGATCAGTTCCTCAAGTTCTGCTTTTATTGCTGACTTAAGGATATAATTCACACACATTTCCCTCTTCATACAAATTCAAATTCTCTTCT